TTAATAACAATCATTTCTAATTTTTCTTCTAAACCACGTCTATGACGTTGTGTTATATCAAGTTCTTCTCGAATTTCTTTGATCGTTTGTGCATATCGTAATTTTTCAGCTGCAATCTATAATAATTGAAAAACAAAATTTTTGCTTTTCTTATTTTCAAAAATTTTGTTTACATTATTCCAAATAAAATGAGATTCAGATGGAAATTGTTGAGTTTGAAGTAATTTCGTATGTTCATCATCCAATATTTGATCATATTCTAATAGAAAAAAAAACAATTAATATTTTTAAGATATAAAAACAAATCTCTGTTAACCTTCAGTTGTCATATTCAGTAATGTTAACATTTGATCTTCTAATCGAAGAGCTACTTGAATATCCAGCATTGTCTGATTCTAAGAAATATGTTATACCGATTTTTTTTTTTTTTTATTTTAGAATTTTCATCAAATACTTTAACATCAACGTATGTTTCATCCTGATTGTCTGTTTGATTGGTTCGTTTTTTTGCAGATTGTGCTCGAGTTACATTATCCGTAAAAGCTAGCACGAATCAATAAAGACTATTTATGCAAGTATAAGAAGAAGAAAATTCTTTTTTTTTTTGCTATTAAAGAAATGTCTGGATTCCGTGAGTTCTGAACTCATGGAGCTCTCAAAAGTATAACTTCACTTACAGAATTGCAGCAACTGAAGCATTCCGAAGACTTTGTTGAAATTTAGATAATACATAAACTCTAGTGTTTCAAACGAAATTGACTTCATCCCACTTTACTTGCCTACAAACTTTAAACAACTGCAGTAGTGTCTTACATCCAAAAATTTGAGATGCCAGAAATGATATGAGAGATGACAAATATTCGGTACAAGATTATCTGTAGATGTCTAGATCTGGATGTGAGTGTACAGCGAACCGAAACCTACACCACACACCTACACCAACATTCACACGCTTCTATCAGATATGCGAATGAAGTTATACTTTTGAAAGTTCCAGGAGTTTAGAACTCATGGAATTCGGTCAGCACTGAAATTTTTAATATGTCTATGTTTTAGAAATCTAGTGGGAGGACCCCAGGTATTCAGAAAAGTTGTATTTTCGAATTTTACTATAAAACTACTTCCACTTAAAGATCGCACATACGCTATTTTATATAAAGCGTTGCAGAATTTTCAGATTTAATATCTCCGAAATGAGAACTTTTCAAAATATCCTGGTGTTGTTTGATACTCTTGGAAACGCTTCTATTTTTTTGCAGAACTCATAGCCCGAAGACATTAAGAGTCTAACTGTGTATATAACGCAGCATATGTGGAACGTTCAAGTGAAAACAGTTTTAATGTAAAATTCGAAAATATAATTTTTCTGAATACTTCGAATCTTACAAAAGTCTCTGGAAGTTAAAAGTTCAATAGCTCCGCTAAACTCAATAGGAACCCAAATCGTTTTAGAGTTTTTTACTGAAACACTATGTAGTATCTAAAAGCAAAATAAATCTTTTCTTACCTTCTTGCATTTCATCATAACCTTGTTTATATTTTGATAATTCATCGATTAATGCTTCAGTTGCTGCTTGATTCTCCTATAATATAAACCAATTAATTTTCAATGCCTTTTATTTCAAGTATAATCTTCAACTAACTACTATTTCTTTGACTTGCAGCCGTGTTTTATTAACTTCTTGTTCACTATTAAAACGAATTCGTTCACATTCTTCTCTTAAACTAAATAGTTTTAAAAGAAAAGATTAAATAAATCTACTTGACTTGTTCTTCTTTTTATTTTAAATACTTTTGTATTTCATTATCTTTTTCATTCAATGTCTTTCTCATAGTCGCTAATTCATCCATTAATTTTTGTTTAGCATTATCTATTTGTTCAAGTTTTTCACATGCTTGATTTAAATCACGATTCTTTCCAGCCAAACTATATTAAATAAATCGATAATTTTTATTTTTGTTTATTTTTTTTTTCATGTTACTTTGTTTCCATATCAGCTATTTTATTTTCATATCCATTCGATTGTTCATGATGTTGATCAATAAGCCGATTACAAAGAACTTTATAAGATAATCGTTCAATACAAGCAATACGTTTACGTTTTTTCGATGTTTTATTATGACATTGTTCAACAGTAAATTGATTACTATAGATAAAATCTATTAAGAAACTAAATTAATTTTAATGACAAGAGATTTTTTTCAATTTTGATACCGAAAAGTTCATTACGAAGTTTGGCAGTAAGTGGAGAAAAAACACCTAATTGAGGAATAATTTGATCAAATGCATTGAATACAAGAACCATACGTTCATCATCATGTCCATTTTGATCTATTTCTTTCATTGCAATCTCAATAGCAAGTGCTGAAAATGAAACAAAAGATTTTTGTTTTCATAAAAAAACAAAAGAAATTTAACTTACTTGGTGATAATTGATCAATCAGATCTGTGCTTGAATTCATAGTCATTATCTCTAACAAAAAAAGAAATTACTTAAATAGATTTTTGAAAATCAAGCTTTCCACATCGATATTTTTGCAAACCAGAAAGGATTTAGTAGTATTTTCTAGAAGAAAACTGACCTTGTTGTCCACAGAAGCGCTTGCTACTGTGCTCTAGTAAAGCACTTATCGTAGAATTTACTGACAAACGACATAAGAAAAAAAGAAATATGATCACACGTATATTATATTATTAATCTTTTCATATTTGTTCATGAAAATATTCAAACAAAATAAGGGACTACTGAGACTTATCTTTTCGGGACTTATTTTTTCTACGAGATTTATTTACTTATTAAGAATTTATTAGTTATGATGCTAGTCCACTATATCCACACTCTTACCCTCACCTACACCCAATTTTTCATTTTGTTGCGACTATTCTTCCATAAAATTTCATATGACTAAAACTAGATTCACAAAAAGTATTTGAAGTCAGCATATTAAAAGCAACTTGAACTAATTTTTTGTAAAAGAAGTACGTTTTCACCGTAAAGAAGATAAACAAATAGTTGGGTGTAACAGATTTTTTCTTGTTTTTGGTGGAACCTAATATCACATCTGTGATGTTAGATCATTTTTTTCTAATGATTATACATGTCGCTAAGAGTCGAGATGAAGAAAGACCAGAAGATTTTTTCATTAGAAGAAAGGCTAAAAAAATTAGGATCCTCCTAGAGTACTCAGGACGTATGGGAGCCCTATTGAAGATCTTTCTTCTTTTTTGATTATTATAGATCATAACCGCCATTTTTAATAACGATACCATAGACCGACCTCTATGAAGATTATTATGTTACTTCCTAATAAACAAAACAAGACACACTCAATCTATTTTGAAGTTTAATTGATTTTTTTAATTTTGTTATAAATATTTTATCGCTTTCTGATTTAATTCAATTGATCGAAAAATGATTCATCAACGGCAGTGGCCATGATCAAATTTCCGTATGTTTTTTCTCTACTATTTATGTGTACTGTGACCTACTAAATTTTAAATTGAACACATTTTTTAGATCAAGATGGCTACTCATATTGCTCGTCGTTTAATTATTTTGGGTGCACCTGGTTCTGGTAAAGGTACAATTGCTAGTCGAATTGTAAAAACATATGGTATGCCCCATATTGTTGTTGGCGATGTACTTCGTCAACATATTCAACGAAAATCAGGTCTGTTTTATTTTTGCAAACTATCTTACATAACTAATTTTCTTTTTTTCTTTATTTAAAGAGGAAAGTAAAACCATCAAAGAACATATCGATAAAGGTCTTCTTTTACCAGATGATCTCGTATTAAAATTTGTTGTTGGTGAACTTAAAAAAATTCGCGACAAAGGATTTTTACTTGATGGTAAAGTTAATTAAATCAATGAAAATAATATTAATTTATCTTGTTTGACTTACGTTATATAGGTTATCCACGAACATTAAATCAAGCACAATTATTACATAAAGAAATGACTGTTGATCATGTTGTTGCACTTAATGTGCCAGCTGATGAAATAGTTAATCGTTTAAAAGATAGATGGGTTCATGCAGCTAGTGGACGTGTTTACAATCTTCTATGGAATCCACCTAAAGTTGCTGTAAGTCTTATTAAATAAAATTAACTTTTCTATTGAACATCTTTTTTCTTAGGGCAAAGATGATGCAACAGGTGAACCGTTAACACAACGTGAAGATGATAAACCTGAAGTTATCCGTAGTCGATTGGATACATATGATAAAAATACAAATCCAATTATGGCTTTCTACAAGTAAATTTTTGAAAAAAAGATTTTTTTCGAATGAATTTGTTATGCATTTTTTTTATATTTCTATAGGAAACAACATATTCTCCAAGAATTTCATGGACGTGAAAGCGATAAAATCTGGCCTGAAGTTAAAAAATATCTTGATCGTGTTCTTAATGAGCCAATACGAAAACAAGGTGCTTAGAACAATCAGAATTATACAATGTTATATCAAACATATCTCTTTTCGCACCAACTTCTCTTTCATGTGAACTTTATGATCCCATCTTTTTTCTCTGCATAGTCTTAGTGTTTATTTTTGAATGTGACACGTGTTTTGGTCTTGTTGTCCTTTTAAAAAAATACATATCCTCCTAATGGTTCTATACTAAGAAAAAAAAATAGTTTGTATAAATAAAAAGAAAAAAAACAACAACCATGATGATTATCAATTTATCATCATGTAAAAATGATTAAACAAATTTCATCTTTGCTATTTAGTATTATCAAGGTTATTTATTCACGCATAGAAGTTTATTTTTTTGCACATTCTTTCTTATATGCATGTAAAAGATAGAGAACAAGGCAATAATGAAATATGTATTAAGATAGCATATTTTTGATTATAAGAATAATTCATTTGAAAAAGAAAATATCTTTGTTACATAACTGCATGTATCTATATGATTACTTTTGCACTTTTCAAAACCAGAAACATTTATTAGTGAAAAAAATATTCACAAACAAAGACACATTCATTTTCATATGGAGAGTATAGATTCTCATTTTATTGCAACAACATCAAATATGACATCGATTGAAGCACGTGATCGATTACATGCAATAATGACAAATGATATGGCTGAAACTATTGAACAAATTGGTCAAACATTAGAAGCATGTAATATGAAAAAAGCTCGATTACTAGAACAACTTGATCAAGTTTCGAAAGCCGTTGAAGCAGTTCGAAATGAATGTGGATGTATTGATACAACTATTGCGTTAGTAAAGAATTGATATAATTGATAATTTTAGTTCAATTATAATTTTTATAGGAGTAAAGTTCTTCATTTAAATAAATTAGTTACGCAAACTGTTCAACAAATGGCTCTTGTCAATATTCCAGATCCACCACCACTAGTTGAACCATTACCACCACCAACAGTTGAAATTGATCTATCTGCTGTTCATGATCGATTGAATGGTCTTGATCATATGGTTACTAATTTAACTAAACTTTTTCTTGAAAAAGAAGAAACTGTTTTGTATGTTATTAATAAACGTCCAGGTAGTGGAGAAATTACAGCAAGTGTTCATTCACCTATACGATCAGGAGGTTTATTTATTCGTTTTGTTTTATTAAAAATTATAGAGATTTGATTAGAATATTATCTGTTTAGATATAAGACATGAACGAGACGAACAAATTCATGATCAAATGACAAAACTTCAAACAATTGTACGAAGTATTCAAAATGAAGATCAAAATCATTCAAAAAAAATGCATCTTCATCATCGTCGATCAAGACAATTACCTCATATACTTCCACCACTTGACGATGAAGAAGTTAGTAGTCATACTAATGAACAACAAAATAATAATCAAAATAATAATAATATTATTTACGACGATGATGATGATGAAACATCACGTGGTTCAGATCAAACAACAGTAGGACCATGTACATTATGTTTACAAGAACGAACAGAAGAACTTACAACTAAAAGATCTAATGATCGTCGTTCAATTGCTAGTAGTAATTATACAGATCGATCTGTTAGTTTACCTTCTACATCACGTGAGGGTGGTGTAGTTAATAATCGTGGATTAGGTGAAGCATTAGCTTCGAATGGTAAAGAAATTATCTATTATGATTATGAACGAGAAATGATTTGTATGGCAGGTACCGAAGGATATTCAATAAAATTTCATCATGGTCTAGTTGTTGATTTATATTGGTGGCCATTAAATAATCAATGGTTAATACTAAGTGAACAAGGTTTATATCGATGGAAAACAGGTGAAAATGAATATTATGATGCATATGAATTTTCCAATGGTGAAATCGGTTTTCGACGTATTGCTGTAACAAGTACGAGTATATTTTGTTTATTTCGATATAGTCTTATGTTACTTGAATTATCAAATGCAATGCAAATGAAACGTCTTCATGCACTGGCACCACCTGACGCACGTTATCGAAAATTAGCTGATATATCCGTTAGAAAAATGATACGACCTGATGATAGTGAAGAAGATGTATTAGGTATAGAAAAAAATTGAATAAAATAAAAATACATATATTCCTTTTTATTTTTAATTTTACTATTTTAATAGGTTTAATTTGGTTTGGTAGTGGATCAGGTATACTTCTTGAAGAACGACATGTCACACTTCAAGCAAATAATATGCATGAACGTTTATTTCGTCATGTACCGATTCAACAAGGTCGTTATGCACGTTTAGCTTCATACGAAGATGGTCGAGCTTGGTTAATAAGTAATACTGGTGCAGATGTTTTCTGGATTGTTGACAATACTAATGTATCTATTGGTCAATGGGAAGCATCAGCTACATGGGTTAAAGTTAACAGTGGTATACCAATTAATGCTGTTGGTTTTACAGATTCAACTGTTTGCATTCGTCTTCAAGATGGAAAATTAGAATTTCTTGAATCTGAACATTGAAAAAAAAATTTGATTCTTTTCTTTTTATTTGTTTTCCACTATCATATTATCTTTTCTTCGTTTTTTTTTTTTCTCTTAAACAAAATTCAATGAGGTCAAAATAATAGATAAATTCAATTCAATTCTGCTGCCCTTATACATTTCAAAGTCAATATTTTCTCTTTCTCTTTCCTTTTTTTTTCCTTTCGCAAACAAATTGCTATTCGTTTGTTTCGCATGTTGTCGCACTCGGACGAACGCACGGATAACACGTCGAAAAAGGAAAATTTTCGGGAATAATACGAATGAGAAAAGACGAAGAAAAAAAAACGAAATTCTTCATTCCCGTTGGTTCATTTAAACACAAAGCTCGTCCGTCATAGTTGAACACAATGACCGCTGACGTACACAATTCGATATATACATATTTATGAAAGAAAAGCTTTATCTAGAGTGAACAAAAAAACTTTTTTTTGACATATTTTCTTACAAATAAACATGGATTTATCATCGTCAAGAATTTTAACAACATCATCAATTGCAAATACATCATCAGGTGCTATTATAATACCTGCTGTTAAAAATTCTTCATCATTAAATAAAAGTTCATTAAATCCAATGCGTATTGGTGATGCTGCTTTACAAAAAATGCGTACTATAACAACAACACCACCAATAACATCATCAACAAATGATTCGACTGATCAACAACCAGCTGTTTTTATAATGAATAATCTCAAAACTGAACCTCAACAACCACGAACAATAACTGTTAATCGTCTTTTATTTTCAAATAATAATAATCATAATACGAATATATCTACTCCAACATCAACAACAATTATAAATGGACAAAATGGTATTAATTTAGCAACACTTGTTAATAGTTTAAATACATTGAATCAAATGGCATTATTACAATCAACAAATAATTCAACAGCAACGGCAACAACACAAAATAGCATTGCTAAACTTCTTGAAACACCAATTTTATCAACAACAAATGCTATTCAACAACCACAAACAACAATTGTTCCATCGATTAATAATCATAGTAAATATTTTTATTTTCATGAAAAAACAAAATCCTATCCCCCTTAAGCAGATGTTCCACCTTTCGAAATAATATAATATCAGAAGGAGCTATAGTTTTTCATGATGGAAAACATTAATTTTCATGTTACTATGGAACATCTGCTTAAGGAATATTAAAAAAAATGTCATACTAATTTTTTTCTAGTGTCGTCATCCAATAAAGAAAATGAAAATACATCATTACCACGTATAACAAATGTTCGTTCAGCATCTGTTTTACCAACATCTGTACAATCATCATCTTCAACAACACCAACAACACAGAATGATGCATTTTTCGCCAAAACCAAAGTGTTAGTTGAACTTTTAACATCACCAAGTACACAACCACCATCATGTTTTGGTTCATCATTAATTGAACCTGAAACTCAAACACCATATTCAGATGCAACACGTACACGATCAAAAAAACGTGTTAATCGTATAAAACGACCAATGAATGCATTTATGGTTTTTTCACAATTGGAACGTCGAAAAATTGTACAATTGGCACCTGATATGCATAATGCTGAAATATCAAAATATTTAGGTGCAAGATGGAAACGTTTATCGGAAAGTGAACGTCGTCCATTTATTGACGAAGCTGAAAGATTAAAAATGTTACATTTGCGTGAATATCCTGATTATAAATATAAACCACGTAAACGTGCTAAAAAAGGTTCAACACCACCAAGAAATTCAACTAATCCACATACATCATCATCAATGGATACAACAGATACATCATCAGATGATTGTACATCAAAAACATCAATTTTACCTGGTATGAATCGTTTAGATGAAAATCTTTCAACATCAATTGAAAATGATTTTGATGAAAATTCATCATCAGCATTACTTACAAATACACTTGCTTCATTAATTGATCCAAAATTAGGTTTATTTTCAACAAATACAAATTTTGATGATCCATCATTTTTTACATCATCACAAACAGCAACAGGTACATCATCATCATCATCATCATCACAACCAATTGATCCACTTTTACTTGATGCACTTGCATCAGCTGATCCTCAAACACAAGAAGCTTTTTTTAATCAATTACAAATGCTTGGTGATTTTAAATTATGGGCTGATCTTGATTTATCAAATAGCGATCCAACTTTATAAATATATATTTGATATTAATAGACAAATCTAACTTTGTAAATAATTTTCTTTCGTATTTTGTTAAAATTCAAATAATGTTGGATTTCGGATGGATTTTTTTCGCTCTAGAGTATTTTTTTTTCTCCTATTTCATTTTGACGATAATCAATTAAAAATTCCACGTATTTTTTTTTGTGTTTGTCTGTTTCTTTCATGTTGATGAATTTGACTATAATAAAAAAATTGATCTTATGTTTTAATTTTTTTTTTCACGATTATAATCATCAGCCTAACACAGATTACAAAAAAACAGCGTTCTATTCTTATAATGCATTATTTTCTGACATTACAATATTATACTGAGAAAAATAGTATACAAAAAAACAATATACAGAACTTATAATTATAATTGCATCGATTAGGTTAAAAATGAGTTTAAATCATGACCATGTGCCATTTCATTTGTTGAATATGTATAAGACATCTAAATTGAGAATGACATAGTTTGATGAAAATGCTTATGCATAAGAACAAGGTAAATTTCGAATGTTGTTGAAGGATTATAAAAAATATCGAAAGAAAATATTAGCATTTTAAATTGAAATATCAAATGGTTTTTGGATAATTTATTGTGACACGATATTCATATGATTGACACGTGTGTGTAGAAATTCTGTTTGAAATAGGAGAATAACGTAAGTAGGACTTATTTCGTTGCATTCTGAGAGTTTCTAGACTTTCTTGATCATACATTCAAAGTAGAGATATAAACGGTAAGCTTTTTCTGCACCCTATAGAATCCTTAATCTGTAAAAAATATCGTTTTAATACCGAATCTTTTTTAAGTTCGATAGTGACTGCAAAACGCAAACACTTCTTCGCGCAGACACTATTGGAATCTTTGCTACGAAACCATTTAAGTTCAATACGAATCGTTTAGAGTATAGTGCAAAACCTATAAGGTTTCGTTTTAAACTTGAATAGTTTCGTATTTTTGATGCCGAACTCTTTTTCATCCTACAGATCTCAAAAAAGTTACACAGCTCCTGACGAACTTTAAAAAAATTCTCCAAAAAGGTATTGTTTCTAGAGTGTACTCTTACATTACCCTACAAAGTTTTTATCTCACTCTCCCTTAATCCCACTTTAATTGGAACACTCTAAAAGTGATACACAGTATCACGCTAGAGAGGAGCAGGGTAGGATAGGATAGGACAACCCCGTTTATCTTTAATTCGAAAGTGCACATGAAAAGACAATCACTCAGTGTTTTATTCAGACTTTTTCTTTCGAAGAGGGTAAATACCTATTTTTGGAAGTACAGACACAGAGTGCACGATAAAATAACTACAAAATTTTGGAAGGCCAAACCGATCCTTGAAGGGGTACAGTCTCTTCTACCTCTCACGCAGGGTAAAACACTGTAATCGATGTTCTAAAAGCTGAAAAATTTTGTTACTTTTTTATAAATCGCGTTATTATTAATGTTAACTAAAGCCTCTCGGATACGATTTTGAAAATTTCGGACTCAACGGACGCTACAGCCAACATTGTCTTGTGCTTTTACAGATCAAACATTCTCTATTCGATCGTAACTTACTTGATAAGGGTGTTGTTTATTTAAAGTACAATCGAGTGGAGTTGCATTATTATCGAATTCTATTAAAAACAAAATATTTCTTGAAATTTTTAAAAACATAATAATAAATAAATTCTTACTTCCAGGCGAATTTTTATGGATTAAAGCTGACAAAGTCGATGTATTTAAAGGATTAAAAAAACAAGGATACTACAAAGGAAAAAATTGATTTCGATATAAATATAAGATATTTTTAATATCGATTTACTTTAGATCGTACATTCCCAACAAAATTTGATGAAAAATTTTCGAATGACTTTGAATCAAATTGATTCGAATAATTAAACTGACCTAATGTTTGTTGATTATTGGTTATTTTTTTAGTTCGTCGTATTTGTTGATTATTTAACGTTTGTTTAGATTCAACAATAATATCATTGTAATGAAATAGTGGTTCTGATGGATCTTTGCGTAAAAGTAATGCTCGAATTAATTTTGTTGCTGCTTTAGCATTTAATTTATGAAAATAAGTTAAATGATGAAATAAAAATATATCTTGATCTGCACGATCACATGGAATATTTGGAACATGATGTTGATCACTCAAACCTAGAAATAAATTTAATAAATAACTTAAAAAATAAAGAACAAACACGTATAGAAGCCATTTTTAGTTCATCTTCAGCTTCCCGCCATTTGCTACTTACATGATGCAGAATTCAACACGCAACTATTTGGTAACAAAAATAAAGCTATTTTGGAAGTAGTCTGATCCATAGATCGAAAACCAACCTTTGTCAAGCTTCTCATAGCAAAACACTTGAAACCGAACGGTAAAACTATCGTCGAGTACTGATATAAATATTGTTCAAAAGGGGCATAAGAATTATGCTTACATTATTACATCTGTTCATGGTTTTTCAAATATCTTGAGAAAGGAAAAATCAACATATGGTTTCAATCGGGTAATTTTTTGCATTTTGTATTGATATTTAATAGATTCATATCAGAAAAAATACGATTGAAGTCGAAACCAATGACATAGGTAGAATCATCATAAACGCCTGAATCGACTGATGTGTGTATAGTTTTTTTTTTATGGCGAGCCCAAATATGTTATTGGTTTTGACTTTTATTGTACTTCTTCTGATATAAACCTGTTAAAGTGCAGCCAAAACTGCAAAAAATAGTGTGTGAATAAAATTTTATTAATAAAGTTTACCTCTAAAAAAATATAAAACGATATGGTTTTGTAGCTCTTGGTCCAAGCTGTTACAATCGATCGAAATCTCATGTTAATTTTTTTTCTTTCTCCAGATATTCAGAAAACACTGAGTAGAATTGATAATATAAACATATGCTTCTATTACTCGTTTGGAACAATATTTCTTTCAATACTTATTATCACTTTTATTGTTCACCCTGAAGTTTTCACCAAACATAGATTGTAGAGTAGGTATTCAATTAGCATAGTTTTCGATTCGAAGTATGTTGCTATGGGAAAGTTCACATGGCTCATTCCTCTATGTATGAATCGTTGATTTATGATACAAAATCGCATGTGCATATCTTAAGCAAAAATAGGTCTGCCTGCTTCAGAAATGTCTTTATTTGATTACCAACAGATTCCTCATAAATAAAAAAAACTGAAGATGACCCAAAAATGACTCCTATATGTCTCTGCCATGCAAACTAATTAACTTACCATACATATGATGTGCTAGTAATGGACATTTACTTTTGAGTTTTCTTACAGCACATTTCGATTGTGTAACAAGATCATCATTATGAAATAATTGTGTTACTGTTGGAGTATAAGATAGAACAGCAAGAACGATTTTTTTAGCTGCTCGTGAAGAAAGATTATGATGATATTGTAAATGCTGAAAACAAAGAACTTCTTTGTCTGCTCGTCCTAAAATTTTTCAAACTTAGAAAAAATAGAAACAAAGCAAACGAATAAATTTTTACCACATGGAACATTAGTTATATCATGTTCATCTGATAGACCAAATGCACCATCATGTGTCAATGGACATTTACCTAAAATAATTTATCTTTTAAAATTTTCTAAAAATATTTTGTTTTTATTCTATTCACATACATTTATAGCCTTCAACAGAAATATTTCGTTTAATTATAGGTTCATCAATACTAAATAGAGTTTCATTTGGGCTGACATTATTGAAAATAGCACGAACTAATTTTCGAGCTGATACACTATCGAAATTATGATACCATTGAAGATGTTGATTAAGAAAAACATCATTTAACGAACGATCACAAGGAATATTAGGTATTTGATGAGATTCATGAATACCAAACACACCTATAAATGAAAATAAAAATAATATGTATACGAATACTAACTATAGTTTCATAGAACACACCAATTCGTATAAGTGGACATCGACATTTAAAATTTTGTACTTTCTGATACGACATTGAATATAAATCTGAAAACTAAAAATAAACAAATAGAAATAAAAGGTCTTGTTTGTTATCTTCGCTTAAGAGCAAAATGTTAAAGGAATAATAATATCACCGGGAATAAAAAACAAAAAAAAAAAGAAACGAATCATCTAACGTATGCCAAAAAATAACGCGAGTCTTGATTAATAATTAATTTGTTTAGCTATATCACCAAAATATGCTGTTATCGTTTTTAATCGATTGTTGAGAAAATTTTGTTCAAGTTCTAATGGTGATTTATCATCCATTAATGATATAACTTGTTCAACATTAACATTTCGTGGTAAGAAATAGACAACATTTGGTGTTATTGCTTTAGCAACTTCAAATACTCGATAACCATTTAATTCAATATTTTTTTCAAGATCAAATATATCAATTGAACCATAGGATGGACCACCCCATGGTGGACTTAAATAGACAATATCAGCGGTTAATGTTGGAGCCAATTTAAGAAAATCACCTAGAAGAAAAAATATCAATGAAATTTTATATATATATATATATTATAATCATATCTCATAAAACAGATTACAAATTAAAATATTATCGCTTTGTTTTTTTGCAACTAACCTTGAATAAATTCAATTCGATCTTCGACTCCATAAACTCGAGCATTTTGTTTTGCCATTTCGATTTTTTTCGGATCAATATCAATAGCAATAACTAATAATATAAATCAATTTTAACTAAAAAAATAAAAGAAACAAAAATACTATATTTACCTCTTTCACAAGTAAATGCAAATTGTATTGTATTTCCTCCAGCACCACAAAAAGCATCAACAATAACATCACATCGACAACGTTTCGCAATATGTCGTGCAATTTTTTCCGGTGTCACACTAAACCATCCCTCTATTTAAAGAGAAAAACAAAATACAATAGATCACTAAAAAAAAGGTTTTTCTTTGATTGTCTATCATCTTGTCTGTCACGGGAGTGACCATTTGTAAAACGATGGCAGAAAAAATAGGAATCATGAAATCGAAAAACCTTGGGTACATCTCTTGTAGTAAAATTCATAAGCTATCCATTGATAAAACAATATTTTATTTTATGTTACTCCATTTTTGCAAAAAAGAATTGTGTGATATATAACGATGATCATGTATACTAATGGTATCAATACTATTCGAAAGTTTCACAAAAGCTAGGTAGACAAGAGATTGTAAGAAACACAATGGTCACTTCGTGTCTTCAAGAATACTAAACCTTTAGTTTTTCAGTGCATCGAATTCGGACATAAAATTTGCTCACATCACACAATATGGTAGAGTAAACCATTCTCTACAAAATGAGACGTCCTCGAGCGCAGTGTTTTATTCAACATGAAAGTCGAGAAGGCGGTACTCCTTCGAAAATCGAGCTGGCCCTCCCGGAGTTTGTGATTATTGTACCACATACTATGTGTGTGTGTTCCCAAATAATAAATTTTCGCTCTCTCAGAGTTTTAAATCGTCACTGCGAAAGCGAAAATCTAGATAAAATACTGTGGGAACTCTCTTCGACGTTTTTTTTGTCGAACTGCATCACATTGACGGAAAGTCTCACAAGGAAACTACCCTAAGTGATGTACCCAATTTGAGCTCATATTGGACCCACAGATAGGTCGTAGTGAGACTCGCAAAAACTTAAAAGAGGTTGTTCCCATGAGCCTATGCCGTTGAATTGTGATCGATCTAATGGGTAGTTCCCAAAAAATGAAATGACAGAGTTTGGATCCAAAATCTTGCCTATAGATAAGCCTAATGAGTCTTAAAATATTCTGAAAGTTTCACTCGAAAAGAATATATTTTCGCAAAGACATTGAATTTTCAGAAATAGCTCTTTGCCACAGACATGCCACAAGAATCAATTTGACTTGAGAATTCAATAACTCGACGGAAGAACATTTTTTTTTAACTGAAACTTTCAGAATATTTTAAAAGCCATTAGACCTTTCTATAGGCAAAACTTCGGATCAAAATTTCATTATTTTGTCTTTCGAGGAACATTTAAAATGATTCAAAAACCAAGTAAACCGATCATAACTCGGCGCCCGAAAGTTAATGTGGACGAGTCCTATATAGAATTTAGCTATTCTCACTGAGATCTGCCTGTGAACTCAAATGGCGAGTATCACTTAGAGTAGTTTCCTCATCAAATAGAATTTGTGTCAAATCGTTCTTCCCCCATGGTCACTTGAGGGATTAAAGAAAAGTGCGCCTGATCAATCTGTGCGTACTGTCGATATCCGAGACACCAATGCTCAATTCTAATGAATTTTTCATCAGTGACTCTTCTGAAATCATTATAGGAAGGTAAAATGTTAATTTAATTATTATACCTCTATCAAGAACAATTCCTTCATCAAATTTTGAAAAAAGTCGATAACGTTGAAGCCAATATTTTAAAAGTTCTGAATCATTATGAAATTCTTCAGGAATATTTTTCTTATCAAGAACAATTTGTTTTGATTTGGATTTTTTTCCTTTTCGTTTGCTATCTTTATTAAGTTCATCATCAATGATCATTTTATCATCATCAATCGATTGTGTATGTAGATTAATAGTTTGTTTAAGAATAAGTCCATATGATAAATGATTCCAATTTTTTGTATATTCAATTAATGATGATTTTATATTTAATAAATTTGAATTATCTAAATAAAGCCCAAGATGTTCAAATTGATTTTTTGTTTCGTTTTGTTCATCGATTAAATCACTATCAGTTTTCATTCGTTTATGCATTTCACCATTATCTTCATTAGACTAAATATAAAAAAATAAAAATTAATCGAATAACAACGAAAAGAATTTTATTTTACATCAAATTCATTTATAGTTTTTATTCGTGAATCATTCTCATTATTACCATACATATTTGTAATATAATCAACAAACTGTTCATAATCGAATTCATGATTAATACAATATTCACGAAGAGTTTTATCATATGTAGATAAATAATGTTCACGCCAAAGATCAGTTAAGACTTGATCAGATTGAATATTTGTTAATGAATCATCTGATGAATGTGATGTATCATGTCCATCAGAATGATTATGAATATCTGAATTTGTTGTCCATGTATTTGTTGCTAATTGATAACCATCACGATTCCAATATTCAAGCCAATCATCCAATGCATTTTTAAATAAATCACTATTAGTTAACTGACTATTTTCCAGTAATGAATCATCTATGAATTTATAAGATAAATTGAATTAATATCGTTTTTTTTTTCTGCTTACCTGTCGTTTGTTCATTAGATAAGGATCGTAAACGTGTTTGTTGATGAGGTTTTGATCGTTCAATCTATAGCATAAGATAAATACATGTAACTTTTTAGAAAAATAATTTGACGGTCTTCCGGTCTTTTTTGATTTTTTCTAGTTCTCGACAAGGGTGCAACGAATCAAGCGAAAACTTTTTACGACAGATAGAGCACCTAATATTATTTGAGGAAAAAATTTTAACGAAACTTTTGTGAGACAAGTCTAATTTTCCATGGATCCGTATCTTGATGCATCACGAGTTGTATCAGATTTTTTTTGGATATCCTCTTCGAGAATTAAAAGTAATCAAAAAAGACATGAAGAAGTGCTGTCCTTAATTACCAATGATGATGTAAATGAAGTTGGTAAACCCATGGCTTTCATAGCTAATGTTTCTTCGTCGAGCTCTTCATCTTCTAAAATATTGATATAAATGTCGGAGTTGGCTTTAAAATTCAATTGCATTTAAAAGGCAACTAATTGCCTCTACAATTTTCCATTGAGTCAAAATATATAAACTTAAAATTGTTACGCACTTTTCTAAACTAAATAGTTTGCAATATAGATTTAACTACGGTATGTACAGGCAGCTACCGAGACTGTGAAATTGCTGACAAAGTTGATATGCTTTTCTCTAATAAAAACTCTCGAGACTTCTATTGAAAAGAACTCAGCTTGGTCTCATCTTGGTGTATGTACAACTGAACAGACTGACCATACCGAAAAAAAATTCAAGTCTCAGTGAATGACTAGATATGAATCGCAGAAATATTCATATCCGCCAACCCTAGTGAAATCCACGTAGAAAACTTGTAATCAATTGAAAATGGTTTATTTTCAATTAATTCATAAGTTTTATGTTTCTACATTTTAAACTCAACTATTTGATTGATAATTGTAGAGTCAAGTAGTCGTCTTTTATGGGCAACTGGTTTTTTAAACCAACTGCGACATAAGTTAATTATTATTTTTATTTATTTGAATAAAACTGCAAATTATCTAGATTGTACAGAAAATGCTTATTTACTTTGCTCTTTATCAACATCAAGCTCTTCCATTTTATCTGTAATTTGTTCCAATGCAGCCTTATTTGGTTTGTCACTCATACTTGATTTTAAAAGATGAATATCACTAAAGAATTGTTTTTTTATAAATAAAAGAGAAGATATTTATTATTTCATTACTTGAGAAGAACACGTGAAAGACAAAATTTTGCATTTTGTTTTTCCGGTTTATTTAAGTCTACAGAAATATTTGCAATAACACCTGAACCACTTCGAACCATTGGTCGTTTTTTATCTAAAAAAATAAAATCTATTAAATTTTCAAAAGACAGAAAAACAATACAGTAGAATATATTTATATTTATATTAGAAGAAAATAATTAATATAACAATTAAGAAAAAAAGACCAACAGCAATAGCAAATAAACATGTATGCCCCCCAACACCATCAGTTGATATTCGAATAAAGCTTTTCGTTTGATTTGTTAGACTTTCTACATGATTTTGACTATTTGCTATACCTGTTTCAAGATTATCTAAAACACGAATATGATCATCAATTTCAAAATTAATATTTTGTGTTAAATTTTTTAATGATATTATTGAATGATGAATATGTTCAAGATGTTCATCTTGTTTATGAATAATATGATCCTCATTTTTTTCATCTTCTGGTGTTTGATCAAGATGAATTATTTCCATTTGACTTTCTTCTTTTACTGGTTCAATTTTAGTTTTATAATAATCATATTGTAATTTCATACGATGAATAAAATCTTCACGTTCATCAGATGACGGTAAAAGAACTGTTGTAGTATTGATTATGGTTGAATTAGAAGATAATAACGGTTCTTCATTTTCTTTTGAATAACTAACTGTAAAACCTTTTTGTGCTTGCTCTTTAATAGATATTTGAGTATTAGGTTTTTGTTGTATAAATTTTGTATCTTCTTCATTAAAATCATTTTCATTTTCAGATAAATTTAATAAATGAGGAGCATTTCGATTAGATGTAATATTTACCGGGTGATTTTCAACGCTGGATGTTGAAACGATTAATTGATTTACTTTTTGTAAATCATCAAGCGTACATGATATATGATTAAAGATTTGATTAACTTCATGCTGATCATAATGAGAAGAATTGAAGATATTTTGAACACGTTGAAATGATTGTTCAATATCTCGTTGAAGATAAATAAACGTGTCGATTGCAGTACTCATGCCATGTACATCTGAAATAATAAAGACGATTGTTAAATTTATGTTAGTTCGCAAGCGTCATTTCTTGATTTGTGGCACATTATTTAAAAAAAAATATATCATAAAAAGAACACTCTTGTTTATGGAATTTATTTTGTTGCTGCAGTTTCCATTGAACTAGTTAATGAAAGTATCACACGCATTGATGAAGCTCGTGTCGGATCACCAACTAACATTTCTGTGCCATTAGTTAATCCAAGTTCTTAAAACGAAAAAAGTTATCATCAATAAGATAACAAAAAAATATTCTTTCAACCTTGTAATGTCATCCTAAGATGAGGTTTCGTTTCTTCGCGCATTTGCTCTGTACTTGTCATATATAAAGTCTTTATATTTCCATTAATGGTCGCCACGATTAATGGAGCAATTAACTGACTAAATAAAAAAAATTATTTTTAAACTTAAAAATCAAAATAAAATTTGTTCTTTTTCCAGCTTACTATTTTTCCATAATTAAGTCGATAAGTTCTTGAAATTTTGCTGCTTCATTCATCTGAATGCGTACAGGAATATTTGAACATATTGGACAATCATCTTTTTTTTCAGGTGGATATGTAAGCATATATATTCCTTCAATATCATTAAACATTGTATAATTATTCATAAGCATAACCGATCTATTCATATGAAAGAAAATAACAAATCCTTTTTCCTCAAGAAAAAAAGACCAAACTAAAAACATACGAAGTAGCTAATTTGAAAACTTCTGTTGCACAAATTGATGCAATAACAGCATTCGTTGATGCAACGGCTGGTATAATACGTTTAACAACACCTTGTGTAAATCGAAAATTAATGCCAGTTATATTATGATCATTAGCTCGTTTTGTTGCATGTTCAACTATCCATTGAATATGTTCAACACTATCACCATCGATTTTGACATCTTGAAAAAAAAAATGAAAGCTGAACCATTTTCTCTGAATTAGTTTTCAAATATTCAACCTGGACCAAATGGTTGTTCTTTCGGCCAAAGAATACTTGTAACCCATTCAACACAATGTTCTGGTAAACGTGGATTATTCGCAATTGTACATTGAGGAAAATTAACCTTATGATGAAAATCTTTTATTTTAACTATAGCACAAAAGTCTTGACATCAATTATTCGACCACCAAAACTAAATACTTATCAGTAAATTTTGTGAAAAAGATCCAAAATTATGTCTATAGAAAGCTAAATAGCGGTTTTGACTCAGTACTTAGTTTGTGTCTTGGAACAATTTCAACTCAACATTATTGTAGAGCCTTGAATTAGGTGTTACAATAGGCGAAATCTGATCTATGCATTTCCACTAAATAGCTAGTATCTATCTATGAAAATAGGCATTTGTAAAAACTTTGCTGTTTTAAACAACTGTTTTCGTAATCAATCATGTAAAATAAAAAAGAAAAGTAAATAGCACTCTGTCATAGAATGGCTGTAAAGAGATTGAAAAGTGCTTTAGAAAATTTTGACTAGCAAGGCAGTACGTGCGTTATGGTATGCAATAATACTAACATTCTAACAAATATTAAACATACGTCAAGAGACAAAAAAGAAGAAAAAATGTATCATGTCATTTCTTTCCATTTCGCAACTGTAAATGACAAACTATCTAAGTATTCTATAGCAATTATAACACCGCCATAATATCGTTCACCAAGATTGTCCATACAATCTTGAATTACAATGAAATAGGTGGCCATATCACTTTTTTTCCAGCACATCCGTTCAGAGGTGCCCTGAGCGAAGGGCGACGTCCCAAATTTTAGAGAATATTCGTTTTTTTTCAGCTAAACTAAATGATTTTTCTTGCTTTTTTTTCTACTGACCAATTCTCACAACAAGGATCGATCCCTCAATTTTCGCGATCTCAGGACATCTCTTCAAATACCTTCCCCTAATATCAATGATTTGTTTCGCCTATAAATACTACATAGTATTCTAATAAAAATCTTACAGGGATTTGGATTTCTATTGAGATTTGACTAAGCCATCGAATTTTTCCAACAAGATCTGAGATTTTTCAACAAATTCTTATTTTCGAATTTTAATCTGGAATACTCCGAATATAGAAAACTCTATTAGACTAGCTTACATGAGAAATTCAGAAGTTTTGAACAAAGTCTCTTCGACATATTAAACTTTCAAGATAGAGAGCCTTTTGCACGGATACTGTGCATACTATATGCATTGTTTCAAAGTTTCATATCTGGAAAGGACTTTGTTCAAAACTTCTGAAATTTTTATGGAAACTAGTCTAGTTACTTTTCCGAAAACCTGGAATCTCTTAGAAAAAAATTCTATATCTTAGTCAAATCTCAATAGGAACTCCAATCCTTTTCAAATTTTTATTAGAACACTATATAGTATCTATAAGTGAAAAATCATGAAAACAGGAATGGAACATCTGAAGTGATTCACTGGTGAATGCTTGAAAATTGTTGCACCGATTAAATTTGATAGGTTTCAATCGAAATACAAAATTAATTAAACTATTGTTCTGTACAACTACTGTCTTAAAAACAATCTGATAATAGCTGTCCAATCTTAACTCAAAAGGATATTCCAGGCACATATTCGAACAGAGCAAAAAAGTGTAATTCTAACTAACCACCTCTGACTATAAGCAGCTGTCTTTTAGTAGCCGAATATTTTCCACCAAAACTTTCGCACTATGTCATATTTAAAAATAAATGTTTTACTTGTGGAGGAAATAAATCCAATGTACATTCAATACAACTGGTGTATCCATGCATAATAACTCGTGCATTCCCTTTGAATCCTTCTGTTCCACCATCAATAAGAGGTACTATTGAAGTTGGTATAACTTGATTATTTTCGTCATATTCAAGCATACTAACCTGAAATGAAATACGTTGATTTAAAAAATTTTGACTTTTTTTGTTGTTATCTTACTAGCATACTATTGATCCATCGACGAGCAACAACAGAATCTAGACCACAAACAATAATTCGAAATTCTGAAAAAATTCACAGTAAAAATATTTATTGTTAGAAAGAAATCAAAAAAAATTACGGGAATAAAATGATGCATCAAAGTCTTGTATTTTGTTCATATATCTGCCAAAAAAAAGCAAATCATTTTCATATGATAGTTGTTAATTCAAAATTATTCACATACGGTGTAACCTTACAATGTGGTATACGATTCATAATGAATTTTGCAGCAACTTCAGCTTTTGATTTACCAATATCAACTTTACTAAAAAGAAAAATATCAAGCGAATTTTTAATAAATAAAAACTTTCTTTGTTTTCTTTTGTGAACTCACGTAAATAAAAATTGACGATTTAAATTGGCTAAATCAACTGTATCCATATCAATTATATCAATTTGACAAAAACCCATTAAAGCCTAATAGAAAATACACAAAAAGAATTATTATCATAGAAATAAAAATCTTTTCTTTTCGTTGTTTTTTACCAAATCTTTTAATAATTCACAACCAAGACCACCGGCACCAATAATTAATATTCTAACAGATTCGATTGCTGTTAAAAGCTAAAATTAATAAATAATTACAAATTATTATGCAATTATTTAGTTTATAATAAACCTCAGTAGATGGTTCAAAATTTGGATCTTTAAAAGGTCCAGCTCGTTCAAGAATACGACGGAGATGAATCCATCGTTGTTTTATTGTCGCATCATCATTTGGAATCGTCATCTAGAATTTATATCAAATGAAGTGATTTCTACATCTTATCTAGATATTCATTCTATGTTTTGTTTTCTTTTTCGATTGAATCAAAAGAGAAATGGGTAAAGTAAATACCAAAGAAATACTTGTCGACCAATGGGGATATAATGTCACATGTGGAAACGATGAGTCATCATGTATGGTGCCCAACCAACTTTCTTTATCTTCCTGCTTACTTGCAAACAATGAATTTTTGTTTTTCATTTATATCATGATTTTTCTAACTAATTTTATTGAAAATATTCAACAAGTTCGACAATAACGTTTTTCATGTTCTTAATAATGAAAAAAGAACAAATATAATAATGTATATTTTTAAAATTATAAATAAAGCATAGTTTTCAAGAAATCAAGATTATAGAATTTTTAGATTAGGAAAATTTCTGTGTAAAATATAATTTATTATGTTATTGGTCTCTGAAACAGATTGAATAGAAAAATCTTTATCAAATGAACAAGTATTTGTATGAATAAATGACGTTCAAATCAATAATTTTCAGTTTCATGAAAATTAATAAGAAAAGAATTGCATTTTATGCAACCGATTTCACATTAGTTTTAAATCTCTATGTTAATATGCATACTTTCAATGTATATGGACAAAATCATTGAATAACCAAAGACATCGACTTTCACTTCACGCATTTGAGTTTACAAAACTCCGAATTGAGGCAACTTTTTTGAAAATGAAATGATACACTCGATAGACAACTTCTGAAGCTATAAAATCTCTATGGATTGATTTTTATGAGCATGCCTAGACTTTTCAAAAACATTGACTCACTTTCTGTTAGCAATGTGACAGAATATAGAAAAATGCTCTTATAACGGAATGAGAAGTTCAAGACTAATTTAAAACGGTACAAATTCTTTTTTAGAATCTTTAGATGACGGTAAAACAAAAAATTTTGCTTCAGGACATGACAGAATTTCTAAAAAATAGGTTTTTAAGAGGGAGTTTTTTGGAATCCCGTCTAGCTGAACATCGCACCCACACCGAATAGTCGATACTGAAGTTTTTGGATTTTCTCTCATACAATTAGAGAGGTATTCGCTAGTTAGTTCTTAATTAATAGCCAGCTGAAAGAGCCAGGATTTTGTACATATTTCTAACCTTAGAGAACTTTCTCAGAAATAGACTCCTTGTTAAGGATCAAAGTCCTAATGAAAAGTGAGTAATTTCCGTTTTGCCTGAAATGACTCATATTTATATATTATTTTGAAAAACTCTTCTTCACTCAAGAAAAACTTCATCAATTTATTGATAAGAATAATACGAGGGATGTATTTAAATTGTTTCGCATTATTCATCTTGTAGTTTGATTAACGTTTCATGAGCAACAATGTTTCAATATGCAATAGATAGTACCGCATATGCCATACTAAATCTTATTTTATTGGTAAGTAAATATTATATAGAAAGACAACTCATACTACTCTGGTCGAAGAATACGGTATTGTATGCGGGCCACAATACAGGGCGTGTGATAACGACACCAGACGACATTAAATGGTCGTTTAGAGTAACATTTCGATAATTGACAGTGATGGGTAATGATGGATTTGTGCACTTGCAATAGATGATTACGTATAACGCTCGAATAAAAGTATTGTGAACTAACAGAAAGTTCATTAATAATCTCCGCTGTTTTATAAAGAGATTGATTGTTTTATCAATGTGAAAAGCTAATTCTTTTTATTGATTCTTTTATCTCTTCAATGCTACCGATGTGATAAATTCAAGGAAGAAAAAGAAAAAATTCTGTACTACACCATACTCCAAGGATATGTCAAAACTATGCTCTAAAACTTCTTAACTATTTCAAGTCTACTATCAACATGTGCCGCAAGCATATTAGTTTGAGTCCATTTTATGTAAGTCTGTTTGGTTATTATATACCTTGGAGAGTAGGATGAAGTATGGAGTTTTCATGTTTTTTCTCCTTTGATAAACTAAAAACTGTTTCAGCAACAACGTATTAACTAATTGCAACTGACTATAAGAGATATTTTGGTCACACAAAAAAAAATCGCGACACATAACTGATAAGAAAATAAAAAAGTAAAAAGTAACTTTTGATATTATAAAACTTCTGATAATCATATCTACAGGTATATTTTTCTTTGTTACATATCAAGATAAAATAATTTTTATGTCAACTAATACATTAAATGAAAATTTTCAAAAATTTCTTAAAAGTAAGTGAATAGTTATAAGAAAGCCTTTTTTTGGTTAATTTATTAATCAAATTTAGCTATTTATGATTGGCCGGAATCAACTATAGAAAAAAATGTTCTTATTCACATGCTTGAAAAATTATGCCATCAAAACTCTGAATTAGAAAATATTTATCAGGAAGTATCAATACCATGCATAGATCATCAATCTTCAAATCATAATACGGATGAAAACTCTCTAGTAGAATCAATAGAAATTTCTACTAAACAACCAGTTGTTCAAAATGTTCTTCAACCTTTGATTTATATTAATTGTCCACCAACAATAAATGAAGATTTTAACGTTAAAAAACTATCAAATCCATCATCTAATACTCTTCCAAATAACACATTAGTTAAGGAAGGAGATTTAACTGTAAGAAAAGGTATAGATTTCTTAATTAATTAAAAACCCATAATTTCATATTTAGTATTTAAGGTTCTACAATTTTATCACCTTTATTAAAAAGTAAATATATTCAATTAATAATCTTTTTTATTATTCATCGGTTTTTTTCAGAACATGGATCAAAAACAATTGTTTATTGTGAATTATCATACACTTATTGTAATAATGAAAAAATTGTATATCTTGTTGTTTATGAAAATCGAAAAAGTCGAAAACCTTTACATAAATTTATAATAGATCTTAGTGAGTTGAATCAATCATTTATTTATTTATTTTTGAAAATATATCTCATTCATTTAGATTGTACATTTGTTGGTGAAAGCAAAAGAGATTTTCAATATAAACATGATTCAGGAATTGAAAAAGTAAGATTAAATGATGTCTAAATTAGAGAATGTCACAGGATGTGCGTCATGCAGAAACTACCCTACAGATAATCTATTTCATATTATTTGTTTATTCGTACGAGAAATCCAAGGAAATTTATTGTTTCTCGTTGTCCATCTGTTTATATTGATTACATTTTGAATTCTAAACTTTTATGTTGGTTTTATCATTGTTTTGTTCATATTCAGGATGTCAAGTATTATTTTATTGTTTATTTCTTCTGTGCCGAACGATATGTGATAAGATTTATTAACACGATTAGATTCATAGATACAAAAGGCATTTTAAATGTTTTTATCATCTAAAAATTCTATAAGCGAGCGTAGAAAAGATTAGTAGAACAATACGTCTTGTGTCGCAAGATTTTTTTTCTTTCTACTTGATCTAATTTTCTTTCTTCACATCGAACAATGATGTATAGCAAGTGCACTGTCTGTTCAAAGGGGATATAAAGATCGCAAGTTGTGTATATAAGAAGAAAAGACAAACAAGAAAAAAAATCTATCACGTAATTGTGTCATTCCTACTGCAGAATATGGACGAAATATCAAGGGCATATCTTTTGTTTTCAACTACGAAATAAAAGGAAGAAAGAAATGATTCAAAAATTGATTTTCTCAAGAGAAAGAGAAAAGTCGTCGATATCAGAATTCGACACGCTTCAGCTCCGTTTGGACCGCCAAAATGGATGAGTTGGATTATAAAAATTAGACTCATGTCGGATAATATTATATTTCAAATAATTTTTGTATAAACAACATGTCTGATATTTGACATTGTACCTCATATGCAAGTAAGTTTTTACCTTTGTCAAAAATGCAATGAAAAGATTGTACTGCAGATCGGATGCAGGAGGGTTTTGACAAAACACTGAATAGTGGACGAGGAAACGTTTTCAACTAATCTATTACTTTTGACTTTGGATTCTATGCATAAGGTAGACTCCACTGAGATATGAAAAACCTCAACAGGATAAGTTCCCTTAGGTTCTCTGTCTCGAGTTATAGGCATTGTACTGTAGAATTATAGCCTTTGGCTTGATATATACCAACAAATCAAATGACAATATATTTCAACCCGAGATTTCACCTACAGTTAGATCTATTTGTTCTTTGAATGTCCTGAAAATTAGAGTTGAAAAGAATGCTGCCTTTCTGAGATATTAGAACCCTAAAAATTACTCGAATAACAAGAAAGATGCTAGAGTTTTCTGTTTTTTGAGGCTTTAATATCTCGATAAAGAAATATTCTTTTGGGTTGAAATTTTCAGAGCATTCTACTGATAAACAGATCTGTCTATGAGCAAAATCTTAGGTCGAAACACGATCATTCGATTTGTTACTATATACTAAGCGAGTGACTAAAATTTCTGTAAAAGCCTATAACTCTGAATACAAGGTATTGATCAATTGAAAACATTTCCTTATGAGTGATAATGTTTTGCAAAATGCAGAAGAGAACAAAGAAAACCGTTCTGTGATGTTATATGTTCCAAATTTTAATATTTCTATATTTTTAGTTTACAACTGAAACGGGCACTGCAGGTACATGGACTTCATGTTTACATGAAGTTTTACCTCGAGAAAATTCCAATGGTAAGCAGCTTTAGTAATCTAATCATCAAGTATTTATTTATTTTGTATTGTTACTAGAAGAAATTTATGAAAATCCTGACGAGTTTACTAGTCCATTAGTAATATTGATTTCTAAAAAAAGAATATTTAATCATACTATTCGTACATATTTATTCTAGAAATCATCTTGCTTTGAACATGTAACTGACGTTCCCAAACGACCGCCACCTCGACTAATAAATTCTATTTTACCTGAAAATATCTATGTGTGTCTCTACGATAATTATTCAACAACTAATGATTCTCATGAACTTGAATTTAAATGTGGTGATCTTCTATATATAATTAATAAAGATGGACCAAATTTTTATATTGGTCGTCAATTAAAACTTCCTTTAAATAATTATGAGCAAACACCAATAGGTCTTGTTTACAAAGGTTACATCAGATCAGCATATGAAAAAGTTTAATGATGAAAAAGATACGATGATGATTATTTTTTTTTTCTTTTTGTGATTTGTGAAGTAAAAAATATGAATAAAAATAAATTTTATTAGGCACGTTCAGTCAATGATTTACGATTTACGGCTGGTTGAATACGAAGAAATGGTTCAACTTGCTTCCAATATGCATATTTCTCAAGAGTATTTGGAGATTCAGCAAGATACGTTCGTGCATCAACACGATATGGTGTCACATCCACATGTTCAGGTTCAAAACGATGAATTGTTAAAAGATTTTCAATAGCCTAAATACATCAAAAATGAATGATATTTAATTTAAAGTATTCAACTAACTAAGCAGGCTCGTTCTTCAAGAACATTTCCCCAAATAAATAATTCTGTAAGAGCCGAATTGAATTTAACAGCATCAGCAATACTACATAAACCATCACCTTTTATATTGTTTGAACGAATGTCAAGACTAGAGTAGAATTGTACATGTTCTAAAAGACAATAAAGAAGTTTGTATTACCTTCGAAGTTTCGAATTTGATTGAAGTAATGCTGTTGCTAAATGACCAGCACCTTCGTTTTCTAATCGATTAAATGCTAAATTAAGTCGAAGAAGGCCACATTTTTCAAGCATTGATGCTAAATAAACAGCGCTATCACGTGTAATTCGATTGCTAAAAAATATGTTGATATTATTTCACTTGGTTAATCATTTATTTAAATACATACCAACTAAGATCAAGAAAAAGTAATGATTGATTATGTTGCATTTTTTCACAAATCCACATAAAACCTGGATCACGAATTTCAAATTTTTGAATATGTAACTCTTGTAAAACATTATTTTTCTAAAGAAAAAATCTGTTAGTACAATTCATGTGGGATTAAATTGTGAGATTCAATGCAGCTCCTGGTAATGTAAAAGAAGTGATTAATCAATATAGATTTCGGTTTATGAACTCTTATCTATTGGTAATGCATATCGATGATGAAAGGTGTTAATCAGAGTTACAGATGATCAGAAGCTTTTTAGACAAGATATTTGTTCACTTTTGACCCGCTAGGAAGTATTTCCGACGGGTCAAAAATTGTAGGTCACGACCAGAATTTGAATATGAACTTAGAAATACTACGCCTATTTTTGTTCAAGAGTAGTAAGAAACTTTTTGAAGGACTTGAAAAATTATTTTTTAATTGTGAACCAAGAGGTTCTTGTTTATCCTATAAGTTTCTGTTGGAACATCCTAAAAATTATCCGAGTTGATCGTTTTGAGAAGCGGACAATTCTCTGCAAAATGTAATATTGAACTAAACTGTAGCATTTATTCAATCATTTTTTCAAGAGCTTTTAACATAAAATAGTTATCGGTTTGTCAAAAATGAATATTTAGAAAAAATGAAAAATTGAGTTGTCTTGTCGGAAGACAAACAAACTTTAAATGGTACAGTTTGCAGGGTAGTTTTTGATGAAAACTCATTCGTCGCGCTTTTCAAAGATTGTTTCATTAATCTCGAACAAAATTTCTAATCTCCAGTACAAATTCATAACTTCTGACTCATTGCAAATACTTTCCGATCACTCATTATATTCCAATGAGTTTAAAAGAAAGGTAAATGGCCACTATTGTACAAATCTTGTAGTGCACTTTAATCTCGCAGTTATATGTCTGTAACGATCAACAAGTGTTGCTAAGATATTTGTCACGTTTTGTGGAGGAGTCAGGAAGAGTCGAGATTTCTACTCTTATGTTTCAACACTTCGTTTAAATCGTGTCTCAGAAAATTTCAAATCTTTTTTTTTTTTGAAAATAAATATTTACTTCAAGCATATGTGCAATATGAATAGCAATATCATCCATCCAATTTGAATATTGATATTGTGGTATTGGACGACTTAAATCAATCGATTTTAAACTTGGATTATAACGTAGAATAGTTAATAATGCTACTAGACTATCCATTTCCTTAAAAAGAATTTTTTGTTTTTCAATAAAAGAAAAATTAATAAACTTAATTTTTTTGACATACTAAATCACAATTTGCTAAATTAAGATGTTCAAGAGTAATATTTATTTGTAATGTTTCAGCAAATGCCATACCACCACCTTTTCCAATACTATTATCAGCAAGTGATAACGATGTTAGTGTTGTATTGACCTTTTTTTAATTTATTGAAATAAGAAATTTTTTATTTATTTAAATGTTTTATAATCAATTTTACTTTTAGAGCATTAGATAAACTTTGAGCACCTTTTCGATGTATATCATTACCTTGTAAATTAAGAATTAATACATATTGATCATTCTAAATCGAAAAGAATATATTTTTATTCCATAAATAAATAGAATTTACTGTTAAATAATCAGCAATAAGTCCAGCACCTTCATCTGTAATACGATTGTATCTGATAAAGAATAGAATAAATTATAAGAAATAGAAAACCTATTTCTATTGTTCAATATTTACCGAAGATCAAGGTGAGTAATCATTGAGGCAGTTTTCAATGCTTCGAATATATGTGGAATATCATTATCTTGTATACGAAACTTAGCTAATGTTGGTTGATTACCATTTAAAGGTAATATACGATCATGATTTCTAAGAAAAAAATAATAATAAGATTCTGATATGATAGAAAAAAAAATGATGAGATGTATTTACTGGTAAGCAAATTCATCAATGTAACGTAGAGAGCGTTCACGTAAATTGGTTAATGTTTCGACAATACCTTGATTAGGACGTTGTTTAGTTTTTATTGATGCTTGTTCATATTCTTTTTTTATTTCTTTGAGCATAGTTTCGTTATTATTTCGATCAAATTCTATTCTAAAACATCTTGATGTTAAGATTCAGCCATTAATAAAATAGTAAACATGGTAATGAACCTATTGTGATGTCTTATAGAAGACAAGATGTCACTATAAAGATAAAGTCAAATAGAATAATTTGATTTGGATCTAGATGTTCTAAATCAAGGTTATATAGAATAAATTTTTGCTTTAGTTTTTGAATCATTCACAACAGTAGACAATCACATGATAGTAATTCCGTTAATATAATAAATTACATTATTACATTCAAATGCTATACATACGTATGTATGTAGCTGATTCTTGCTCATTTACGCCAATCAGATCATATTCCATGTTTAACTCTTTTCAATCCAGTTGTTTTATGGCATATAAGTGTGACATGCCGTATAACTCAAACGAATATCTTGTTTAAAAATACAAATAAATGTTTGAATTGAAAATAAGATTAATTCTGAGTTCCACTAACAAAATCATGCAAGTTTTAAGTAAGAAAATAAAAGAGAGGACTCTGTTGGATAAGATGATCGCCTTTCATTTGAAAAGTCACCTAAATGGTTTTGCAGAGCAACTCGTGGTGCATCAAATAATATATAGGAATTTGTTTTTTCATCAAGCATTGACTTTTTGTCACTAGTAGTCAGCCCGGATACGATTTTCCGCACGGGATCCGAACCGAAACTAATCGACATCTGACAGATACTTTTGCAGTCATAGTACAGTTTTCAAAGTTTTACTTTATATGAAAAAGTTTACTGTTTAGTTTCTTCCATAAACAGCAACAGAAAAAAGAGATCTTCTGAAACTCCACAGAAAGTCAAGTAATCCAGGATTCACATGATGTCTTTCGGCTTCTAAAATTCGATCGATTTCGCTAAGTATATGTCTGCTTGTCGCTGATGAAGCTAGAATAGAATGCAGTATTGGTGCCAAACATAATACTTGTATAAACATATACATATATGAATACTTTCTCCATCACTGTAATATATGTTCATCTTTTTGATAATTTATTTTCCTCTCCCTATATCCAATGACTTCGTTATGTAGTTTCTGATCGTCCATCGGTAGATGAATTCTCCTTGAAAAAATGAGTTCTTGTAGTAAAAAAATATCACTTTCCACCTGAGTGTGGGTATGGGTGTGGAGCGTGCGCTTAGTCTTTCACCGCCGATACTCACACCCACACCCTCAAGATCACGGAATTTGATCACAGTAACAGTCACGATCACGCCGAGCACTAATCAACACTCATAAGCAACAAAAAGATTGCATCATTTACATTTTTTCATACACACACGAACCATATATTTTTTCCGCCAATTGAAGCATATTATCATAAAAATTTTCAAACAGAAATCCACTACACTTAATTTTATTAGTTACATATTAAAATTATAATATGAATTGAATCATATTATATTACGCTGTAAATACGTGATAAAACTTCTGTATTAGGTCCCATTAAAGGAAACTACCAAAAAGTTTAGACAAACGTCTATCATCGAGCGCCCCCTTTCTAAATATTTTGTACGAAGAAGATTGAATGCATTTTATGCAATGGCGATTTTGCGTGTGTGCATAAGAAAGAGTGAAAAGTTTATCTTACCCTAGTAATTAGTGATATATATTATCACCATTTTTCTTTTAACGTTTGTCAAAGCGGTTGACGAAAAGGGTCCACTTTAATTTTTGATAATATGTAAATTCTGAAAATATATTTTACATATTTCTTTTTAAAATAATTTTCGTCTTATTTTAAGATACTTTCGTTTAAAATATGAGTTCAAATACAAAAGTATTTAGTGTTAATGGTATGACATGTCAATCATGTGTCAAAAATATAGAGCGTAATGTTGGTAAAATAGATGGAGTTAAATCAGTGAAAGTAAGAAGGCTCATATATGTATACGTAATACAAAGATTTTTTATGCATTTTTTATTTCTCCTCCAGGTATCATTAGATGATAAGGAAGCACATGTTGAATTTGATAGTGGCAAAACGACGGAACAAGCTGTGATTGATAAGATTACTGGTTTAGGATTTCAAGCTCAATTAAAATGAAATTGCCTATTTTATCTTACAAACTTTAAAATTTCGAACAACATTCACTTCGTTTTTTTCCTTTTCCATCAATAAACAGAAAAAAGGTTTTGACATGGAAGTTTTGTCATTAAAATACCGTGCATTGACGTGCCATATAAATATTCTCAAGTCGGCGATTCAATATTTGTTATATGACTCATAAAATATTTGTGATCGATTCATCGCTTATTTCATGAAATATTTTATTTCTTGGTCATACTACCTGTAAAGATATGATATCAACTTCCTCTGTCTCTTTCATGTTTAGATTTTTGTTATGAATTGCCATCATATAAACCTAAATGAACCAGTATCATCGTTGAAATGCTCCACGACTGTGTTTCTTGAAGATAAGAAAACTGAAGTCGTATCACCTTGTGATGGAACTATGACAAATTTCAATAATATTTGTCAATGTCAAAAATCATGTTTCTCTCGGCAGACTGATATCAAGCCTGTGTCGATGAAATTTTCCTATGATAACATGGGATATGGATAGATCGATCAATCTCAATGATATTCGAACATATTTACCAAGCCTTTGAATCGTAAAAAATTTTTTATATGCTTAATGTTACAAAAAACTAAAGCTATTTCATAAATGGTTATTTTGGTCAAATTTGTTCACTGATTTTCATAGAAACAGAAACTCCATTTTTTGGATGCATACTATTCAAGAGTTGTTGATAGGAAGGAAATCCAATCACGTTCATATCGTAAAGCATTATAAGCGAAATGTTTATGAAAGTTTTTCAACAAAACAACCATTGCTTTCTGACTGATAGAGAATGATTGACTCTCAGAAGTAATCAATATGAATAATTATAGAATTCTAATAATAAGCTGCTGTAATATATCAACAAATAATCTTGAAATATGAGCATGCGATACATGAGGTCAGTATGCTCTTCGTCAACCTTCATTTCAATGATCTCTATTTCGGTGATCTTTTTTTTGGTAATATTCGTTTCTGTGATGAGATATACAATCTGATTTCAGCAGAAGACATTAATATGAATCGAATTACTTGATACTAAATTAAAAAACGAAAGCCTCCTAATCCTTTTTTTAATAGTTTGCCTTTTACAAGAGCTTAATTTAGTGTTTGCTTACCATTTGAATTATTAAAAAGTTGTTATAACCCGTAGAATATTTTCAAAATATAAAGAGTACTTCTTTTAAATGAAAAAAAGGAAATTTGATCTAGTATTCTATTTTTTTGCACGAGTAACTATTCATTGAATATTTGAAAGTAAATAGAAAAAAAAAAGCTTTTGAATGTTGTTCTTCGCAAGTTTTCTTTGCGCCTATGATGTTAACTATTAAAATAAAACAATCTTTTCGTACACTTGTATTATGTATAATAACTATCTGTTCATAAATATATGAGTAATGTTACTGTACTAATCTAGATATATAACTATCCTATTCTTTCGTTTGATATTAATAATCTATTTTTTTTTATAAACAATCTCCATTGTGACGAATAATGTTCTATCATTTGTTTACTATTATAAAATTATTTTCCTAATGTTAATCAAATTGTACGTATGTGGTCCGTGTATCGTATGAATAAATTGAATCGAAGAATTGTGGATGATCATTACAAACAAGAGATTTTCCTCTTATGTTGTACGACGTTGATTCTTGCGTTTAGACGGTATGATACAATTACATGTATACAATAAATGACCGGTACCGATGCCAAAAATAATGGCAAGAAAGAGATAAACATTAAATGTCATTGCTATAAGCATTAGTATATAACCAAGTATTAAATGAATAGCATATAGTATACCATGTAGAGCACGTTCAGAATATCGTGGAGAAATTCTTCAAAATAACAATATAGAATGTATATTATATAATTTAGTTTTTCCTTTTTTTTTGTTTTTACTTTTGTTTAGTATGACGAGCCGATTCAATTGTTTCAATATTCATACATTCTAATTCTTGCTCGCCTCTTTCATTTGGACTCCTAAAATAGACAATTGAATATTATTAAAATTCAATAATTTTCTACGGACATAGATCTTTCGATTAATTGTTCTTCCTCTAAATTTAGACGAATTTCTCTTATTTCTTCGTATAAAATACCCAAAATAAATATAAAAATCCATGAGCAAATAAAAACTAAAAAAAGACAAAAGCATAAGATATATTCAACAAATTCATCTTAAAAAACATTACTTGAAATCGATGTTGTTTTCCATGGTTCAAATAAAATTGTTTCAGTAAAACTTGCATGAAAATACATCTAAATAATAATGATATTCATCTCCAAATAGAAATACATATGAATTAGAATTTTGATTACTTTCATCATTGAATGTTGATCACTTGTACCGTGACAATTGTGTTTCACAGTGATCAATTCTTTTTTAGTAGACGCATCAATATGATGTCGATAATGATCCATATCATGAGAGACATTAATCAAATTTTGTACACCGTTGTAATTCATATCGGACTACAATATATTTTTTTCTTACCTATAACAAGGTATCAAGTACGTCTGTATATGCGTCAGTAGTGTAAATCTACAGGAGAATGATAGAAAACGAAATGTTTCAAATGAATGCATTTAATATTGCATTACAAATGCGATAGAAGAAAGAAAAAGCTATTATAATATATTTGATGAAGAACGATCATCTATTTATTGTTTGTACTATTAGTGGTCAACTTGTTTAAATTCATTTATTACTTTTACGAGGAAACTATCCGAACTAATACACACCGTTTGAACTCAAATTGAGTTCATACGAAGGTCTCGGCAATAAGTAGAAAAATCCTCAAAGGGCTCATATTCATGAGCCTTTAAAGTAGACTTATAATAGTTTTACTGAATTTTTGATCAAGCTTTAGGTATTTACCGAAAAATCAAATAACATTATTTTAATCTAAAATTTTGTCTATAAAAAAGGTCAAATGATTAATAGAATATTCTGAAAGTTTCAGCCGACAAGAATATTCCTTTATCGAGATAGTGAATTTCCAATATGAACTCAAATGGGGAGTGTCCGTTCGAGTCGTTTCCTCGTTAGTTTTGATCTAGACATTTCGAGTAAATTCCGCACTCTAAGACATACAATTGAAACTAGAAATCTGCATTGGAATTAACTACATGTCTCATTTATAAATCAGATTTAACATAAGAACTTTGCTTTGAATTGTAAATGTTATCTTGTGGTATTCGTTGGACAAACTGATATATTTTTGAAAGTCGATAGGTGTCTCTTCAAGGTCTACGTTCAAGAAAAGAAGTTGGAATCAATGTTGACTCCAATTTTTTCTCACCTTTATAAAGTCCTGACGAGACGTGAATCGAACCTTCAAAATATATCAGTTTGTACAATGAATATTCAAGAACAAAACCCATCATTCAAAAAATATCTGTATTATTCAATCTAATTTATTGGTAGGTAATTTATAGATCTCGAGTCACTATTAAAAATGACTCTAATGCAAGTCTCTACCAGGAACTCACGAAGGTTAATCAAGTCGTCTCACTTGATGATTGATTGCCAATACTATTTTTCTTGATTTTAGATTTGACTTGAGAATAAAATTTGAGAGCGATCATAAGCATCAATAATTAATTATTTATTTTCAAAAAATTCAACTCATAACTAATATTTCTATTCTCAAACTCTTCTTAATTTGACTATGAGAAGACATTCATCTGTTATCATCTTATCTGTCGTGTTCAAGTTTTTTTTCGTTTCTTTGCTTTTAACCTATCTGTTTGGTTTTATCTGTTGAGTAGAGTAAATAAGAAAGAAAGAAAGATCATATCTCTTTTATTTCAAGTACAAAGAACAGAATAGATTCGTGACAGTTCACGTAATCTGTTGAGTTAAAATTGGTACATTGGAAAATATAGGTACTATTCAGCAAATAAAAATGTACTATACCCTGACAAATATCAATAGAATGTTTTCAAAAGCAAAGATTACTGTTTACACCAAAAGTTGTCGCATATTTATCAGTCAATTAATTGCTATCATCTGAACTAATCACTACAATATAACACCTTTTATCAATAAAAAAAATATACATTGATCATGTTATTTCCGAGTCAAATTTTCATAAAAAATTCTAATAGAACTCTGTTGAATGATCTAATTATTTTATTTATTGATTATACTGAAAACAAATTTTATTCGTTTGTTCTAGAGAATGTCTTTATTAATTGATATTCCATATTTGATTTATAAAAAAGTAATCGAATAAAATAAATCTGTAAAATTCTATAATAAATTCAAACAAGTCATAGTTTCATTTATAACGCTGTCACTTGTAATTCTATTTCTTCTTCTTTCTGATTAGATGTTTGATCATCATTAAGAAATAGTGTTGCTCTTTTCTTCTCTTCCATAACAGCATTTTTCACAGCTGATATAGATCCTATTACAATTTGTGATAATCGGCTATTTTTAAAACTTGATAGAATGCTTGATTTTAATCGATTTACTGGTAAATTATCAATACCACGATGAACAACAATTCCAGTTGATTTATTTAATAACCATTGACGATAACGAACATCTCTTTCATATGTATGCATTTTTGGCTTTTTAAAATAACGTAACAGTAATGATGAAACAACAACACTAACAGATGATAATGCCATTGCTGCTGATGCCATCCATGGCATAAGTTGAACGCCAGCTGGAAGAAGTACACCTAAAAAATAATAGTTAAAAAACATTTTCTGCAAATTGATTTTATTAGTATACCAGCAGCAATTGGAATACCAACTAAATTGTATATAGTAGCAAACATGAAATTGATTCGAATACGCCATACAGTCTTTTTTGAGAGCATAATAGCAGCAACAACATCGAAAAGTTCATCACGAACTAATACAATTGAAGCTGCTTCAACAGCAACATCGGCACCAGTACCAACAGCTATGCCAACATCAGCACGAGCTAATGCTGGTGAATCATTAATGCCATCACCGACCATAGCTACTTTACCATGAGCTTTTTTATTTTCTTTTAGACGGGCAATAAAACGTTCTTTATGTGTAGGTAAAACTTCAGCATATACAGTTTTAATGCCTACTTGACTAGCAATCGCTCGAGCTGTTTTAACATTATCACCTGTTAATAAAATAGTACGTAAACCAAGTGATTGTAATGCATATATAGTTAATGGAGCCGTTGGTTTTATCCCATCGGCAATAGCCAACATACCAACTATTTTACCTATATAAAATGGATACAAGTGTATTGATCATTATAACTTTTTCAATATTATTACCATCAATAGCTACTAATACAGCTGTATGACCATCATGTTCATGTATAGACATGGTTTTATCAATGCCATCATCAACTTGTAAATGATTACGTTTCATCCATTCACGATTTCCAATTAAAACAGAGTATACATGAGATGAATTAGTATTCATACTCGATACAAGAGAATCGATATCACTAACACGTGCTTGAAGACCATAGCCCCAAATAGCTTTAAAATCACGACAAAGGCCTAATTGATCTGTACCAAAATGTTCTTTACAATGATTACGAACTGCTAAAGCTAATGGATGTTCTGAACCACTTTCAGCTGTCCCTATAAAACAATAAAAGACATTTCATAAAATTAGTTATTTGACAATCTATCACAAATTTTTATCTACCTGCAATAGCTAACATTCGATCTAGTGTCATATCTGGATTTTGAAAAAATATTCTTTTATCTATCACTGATGGTTTGCCTCTTGTAATTGTTCCTGTTTTATCAAATACAATTGTACGAATTTTATGCGCAGATTCAAGAGGTTCTCCGCCTTTAATAAGAATACCATTCGATGCTCCAACACCTAAATTATATAATTCTAAGAATTCTATCGATAAACAATCAATTTTATCAAACCTGTGCCAACCATAACAGCAGTTGGTGTTGCTAAGCCTAGTGCACATGGACAAGCAATTGATAATACAGTAATAGCATATCGAAAAGCAAGTTCAAGCACAACTTCAGTTTTTGATGGTTTATATCTAGTATTCGAATGTTCACCTTGCAATGATTCTCCATGTTCTGGTGGTTGATAATACTGTAAGCAAAAAAGAAAAGAAAAAGATTGGTTAATTTATAAAAGACAAAAAGAAAACAGAAACTATCTTTGAAATACGTTACTGATGAGTGTTTTTCAATTTTATCAAAGATTGTATAACCCAAAATAATATAAGTAACTAATGTAAGTATTGAAACTGAAACAACAAATGGTACAAAATAACCAGCAATTTTGTCAGCTAATTGTTGAATTGGTGCTTTGGATGTTTGTGCATCTTCGACTAATCGTATGATTTGTTTTAAGGCTGTTTCTTGACCAACATGTGTTGCACGCATAATAATTAAACCATCAAGATTTTTTGTACCCCCAACAACTTGAGCACCAACAGTTTTATCAACTGGCATTGATTCTCCTGTTATTAAAGATTCATCACAAGATGTTACTCCATCAATAATTCGACCATCTGTTGGAATTGTTTCACCTGGTTGAACTTTAAGTAAATCATCACGTTGTATAAGTTGAGCAAGAACTGTTTTTTCTTCAATAATTTTTCCCGTACTATCTAATTTAACCAATGTACCTTGTGGTGGTTGAAGTGATAAAAGTTTTTTTAATGCATCTGATGTTTTAGCCTAAATTATAATAATTAAATTTTAAAGATAATTTTTATTGATTTTTTTTTCTTTTTACTTTAGCAGTATGTTCAAGCCATCGTCCCAAAGAAACAAACATAAAAAGCACTAAATAAAAGAAAAAAATTAAACAGAAACAATAGATGGTGTATGTCTCAACTTACTAGGTGAAACATCAAAGAATGCCATAGGACTAGGTACTTTCATGATCATATTTGCTATGACAACAATAACTGAATAAAGATAAGCAATAGTTGTTGCTAATACAATAAGAACTTCCATATTAGCTGTTTTATGTTTTAATGATTTGAATGCTTGAACATAAAAATATCGACCACTAATGATCTATGATAGAAAATTATAAATAAAAACACATTCAAAACAGTATAATTTTATAATGTTCTAACTTGAACAGGTGTAGCCAACAAAAACATAATTAAATTTTCAACAGATAAACCATCTGTAACATGTGGAGCTTTCATATGATCTTTATATTTAAACATAAAAACCAGCATAATAACCATTGCTGGAATACCAAAAATAGCAGCAATAATAAATGAATTTTTCCATCTATCCAAAAATGAAATGAAATATAATCATTTGATAGAAATTCTTTCCTCAACTCACCGACGTGTTATACGTCGATTTAAACGTGCTAGATTTTCAGATTTTAAATTTTCGGTTAAAACTGTCGTTGGAAAACCAAGATCATCCTGGATAAGAGAAAGAAGCAAAACAGACATTTAAATTTTTATTAGGAAAATCCTTTTTCATTTTTAACTGTAATATGCTTAAGAATATCTCTTGGTCCAATTATACTGGGATCATATTGAAATCTTCCACGATTTGTAAGTAATGCAACGTCAACTGATGTAATACCAGGTATTTTAGTCATATGATTTTGAATTTTATTTACACATGATGCACATGTCATACCTTCGATCTTAAATAGAATTTCAAAAACAAAAGATACTTTGATTTATACAAATAAATTTATCTTACATTAACATCAACTACTTCCATTCCACGTGCAACTGTTTCAAGTACTTCAGCTTGAAACCCAAGATTATTAATCAAACCACCTATTTGTGTTGGTAAAAGGTATGCTGGATCATATTTAACTTCAGCACGTTGTGCTAATAGAGCAACCAATACGGAGTGAATACCTATATTAATATTTTTATTTGAAATAAATTAAAATAAAGCAATTTAAAATACCTTCAACTTTTGATAGATTTCTTTGTATACTATCAACACATGATGCACAGGTCATACCAATAACAGTAAAATAACATGTTTCTAATTCATTTTCATCATCTTTTAAAGATAGCTGAGAACTTTTATTTGCTCTTTCAGTTAACTTTGATTGTTTCGGTGTGACTTCATCCTCTATTGCTGGAAAAAAAAGAATATCAATAATCTAGTTATTTTCGTTAGATGTTCAAAGCGTAAATGATAATAATAGTCACCATTTTTGTTCGTTGTACGAATTAGATTTATTTCATTCGATATTTCTGATTTTCGAGCACGTACTTTAATTAAAAATCAATATATTACTATACTTTTTTTTTGTAAAAACTCTTTATTTAAATGCATACTTGAATTATTATTCATGGTTGTTTTAGGTTGTGGAGCACTTGAAATAGCAACTTGGAAACTAAGTTTTTCAATTTCAGTAATAATATCATCAATTTTAAGTATATTTGGATCATACATAATAGTAGCAAGTTTATCAAGAAATGTTAATTGAATATCAATAGCACCAGGTAGATCAAGTATTGCACCACAAATATTTGATACACATGAATTACAATGCATACCTTCAATTCGTAATTGAGCTTGAACTGATTCTGAATTTATTGATTGTACAGGGTGACCAAGTCGTTGTATTGCTGATAGAAGTGTATATTGATCAAGTTCATTGGTATTAAAAGAAATTTCAGCTTGATTATTGTCGTCAATAAATTGACATGATACAAGACCATCAATACGTTCACATAATCGTTTTGATACATACTCATGATTAGCTTCGTGTACTCCTCCTAAAAGTACTCGAATATGTGTTATATGTGGATCTTCCGCAGATGTTAAAGGCATTAAATAATATCTGAAAGAAAATATTTCAATAACAAAACTAAAACAAACTTTATGGATCCAATGTTAACATGTCATTCAATATTTTCGTTACACTTTTGAAAGAGGTATCTTTAGTCTACTTCATTTGCATTAGTAGATGTATTCAATATCTGATTATACATACATATGAATATCTATATATGTCTATAGGCTTATATTTGTTGGTTCGCGTCATATAATACACGTCCAGAGAAATAATGTTGCTTGAAAAGAGCGAAGACATTAAAAAAGTACGGTCATATGATGCATTAATACGACCCTCTTACATTTCTTTTTCTCAACATGAAAATAATTTGTTTAGTTTCAGCTTATCTTGCTTTACATGTTTTACACTTCTCTGCTTTTTTAATCTTTTTATAATGATGACAACAAAATGTTGACATAGAGAGCATATCTTAAGGATGTTTATATCTGAAAATAAATGTGAATAGGTCGCTGCTTTTATTTTGTTGTTCACCTTTTCAAAAACAACAATCATAAATTTGTATATCTTGAAGAACCATATAAAAATTTTAAGCAACTGATTATAGAAAGTTTTTTTTAACTCAGAAAAATTTCGAAATACAAGTTTCTGAAATTGTTAAACTTTCCAAAATTTCTTTTTCATCTTTCAAAAAGATGAATATTTCGGCTTGCAAGAACAAGCGAAATCACATCACATGTATTTGTTATGAAGTTATTAACAATTTTCTTTACAATATTTTTTAATATTTTCAAAAATAAGACCAAATTGATTCAGCTCATTTACGAAAATTTAGATTGGTTCTACAGTTATTTACATTAAAAAGGATTATATTTTCAATAGATCTCCGTTATTTGTATTGTACTCATGAGTAAAAACAAAAAACAAGGCAATGTTTGCTGTCTGATTATATGTATTGACAAATAAAAGTTTCATGTCATTTTTCTATTGCTTTATTTTGTTAGAAAAAAGAAAAAAAACAAAAAGTAAATAGTATATCAAAGTTTTATTTTTCAATATAAATATCAACAAGTAATGATTGAGTTTTTTTCTATGATATTTATTTGATAAATATTCAAATAAACAAATATTTTCTTTTAAGTTATAATTTTGTTCGTTTAACCAATCTTTCATCCATTATTTGAAAGCCATTATATTGTTCATGGGATCGTCAATGACCGAAAATAACGATGATTTTTTGTTTTTGTTCGGTACTTTTATTGTCTTTCTAATTCATATTCAAATTAAGAATAAATATTTTTTTATGTTAAATAGACAAATAAATCAATATAAAAATCTATCAATAGATCATTTGTCTTATGATTACCTTTATTTTTTTTTACAACATTCGTCGAATATACTGGTACCCTTATAACAAAGTAATACTTCACTCATACACACTTATATAATCGTGATGAATGATGTATTAGCTTGAAGTAAGGGCCTCCAGTGGTAATACTCGTGGGGCCCGTTAGCTTCATCTTTCGATAGAAGAATGCCGGGCTTCCCCACATTTCAGCATGTGTTGGAACGTACCACCGAAGACCGGAAAAAGTATAAGGAGACTGTGAAAAAGTCTCCAAACTACGGAGTATTGTAGAAATAACGCGAAAGTACTAACAACAACGAAGTTGTGACACTTGACTGTTTAGCTGCTTCAGAGATAGATGCTTTTTGCCATGGTATGCACCGCTTTTTATACTCTGATCGTCGCGTGTGGTATTGCACAATCAAACGGTAACGATTTCATTGCGATTGTGCAATATGCACCCTTTTTAGCTGTTTGAATAAGGGTTACTAGGTAAGAACAATAACAATCAACAAGGGGGCAAAAATAATTTCGTTTTCATGTCATATTCTTGCATAAGAAACAAAAGAGAAAAATAAAATTTATGACTGTTTCTTATCAAATATTGTATGTTGGAATTTTGCTTTTTTTACATTGGTTAATATTATGATGACACCCAAATCACCAAGCTAGTTGTTATTGAAAAGAAAATATCAATTATTTTTTGCTTTAATATTTAACTAACATTTGATTATTTAAAATGCTGAATAGAATTCTGAAACGCTTGAGATATGAATAAAAAATTTAGCTTCATTGTTGTATATCATTTAGATTATCTGTTCCAACTATATTGTAAAATCAATGTTACAAATATCATGAAAGAAAACAACTGAATAGAATAAAAAAAAGACAATGCAAAAATTAAGACCATTTATGTTTTTTTATAATTTAAATATATAGCATACTATGTTGCACGGATCTAAAAAGACATGAATTTGATGAATGTCAATCATTGAAAAGAAGAAAAGAGAAGGAAAATACACGTATACGATGTTTGTCAACAGTCACGTATAATTCTTTGCATTTTTACTGAAACCTAAATAAATTCTTTCTGACCAAATAACATTTACATAGGCCACGTTAAAATTTTTTTCAAATGACTCTTCTAAAAATTGTAATCTCAGTATAAGTTTTGTAATATACCGAGTGTGCCAAAATGTTTGCCACATGCTGTATTTTGCATATATCTCAGCATAGATAAATGATAAAAAACTTGATTTTTTTCCAAAAGATGCGCCGTGGGAAGCTCTACAAANTGTTTTGATGATTTTTTCTATAGTTAAAATGAAACACCTACATATTAGTGCTACTTCCCACAGTACTTATAATAATAAAAATGTTTGGAAGACCTTCTTTTATTTTGCATATATCTCATCTTCAGAAAACGATAAAATCTTGATCTTTTTTTCAAAATATGCTTCATCGAAAGCTTTACAAAATCTATATGAACAAATCCCTATCGACTTGCTCTGATGATTTTTCTAGGTAGTCAGACGTGAAGATCTGTGTGATGTTGCTACTGGGTGTTCAAAAATGTTTGCAACATAGTTTGTTTTGCAAATATCTCTGCACAGACAAATTATATAATTTTGATTGTTTTTCTTCAAAAGATACGCCATGAAAAGCTCTGCAAAAACTGTAAGAGCAAATACTTATTGAGTTGTTCTGACGGTTTCTTTCCTACTCGAAATGGAAAAAAATACATGATACTGCTACTTCCCACCGTATTAATAATAATAAAAATATTCGGAAGACTTTTTTATTTTGCATATATCTCGGCTGCAGAAAATGATAGAACCTTCATATTTTTTTCGAAAGATGGGCCGTTGAAAGCTCTACAAAAGCTGTATGAGCCAATTCATAGTGGAAAACAACAAGGTCTTCCAAACATTTTTACTATTATAAGTACTGTGGGAAGTAGCACTAATATGTAGGTGTTTCATTTTAACTATAGAAAAAATCATCAAAACATGTTAGTAGAGATTTGTTCCGGTATTTTTTGTAGAGCTTTCCACGGCGCATCTTTTGGAAAAAAATCAAGTTTTTTATCATTTATCTATGCTGAGATATATGCAAAATACAGCATGTGGCAAACATTTTGGCACACCCGGTAATACTTATATATTATTAATACTATGTGTCAAGTCTCAGACTGACGAGGAAATCTTTTTAGACGCCTCCTTCTTATTCCAATAGTTTTTGTCTTGCCTATAGATACTACACACGGTTCCTAAAAGAATTCTGGTTCCTATTGGCAGTCGACTATGCTATCACACTTTTAGTATGTCTATTTTCTAGAAGTTCTAGATTTTCAGAAAACTCGTATTTTCGAATATTGATTTGCTTCTTCGTACATATAGAAAAATCAACTAGACTAGATTTCTTAAAAAGAAATTCAGAAGCTTTGGAAAAAAGACTCTTCAAGATGTGACATTTTCAAAAAATGCATATTGTATACATAGTATCCACGGAAAAAAGTTTATATCTTGAAAGTCTGTTATGTCAAAGAGATTTTGTTGAAAACTTCTGAAGTTTTTCTGGAAGCTAGTCTATTTCAACTCTCTATATGCACAAAGTTTCAAACCATAATTCGAAAATACGAGTTTCCAAAAACTTAGGCCCTCTTAGAAAAAAAAATCCGATAGCTTAGTCAAATATCAATTGGAACCATAATCATTTTGGGGACATGATGCAGTATCTATAGGCAACAAATTATTCAAATCAAAAGAGTGCAGCTGAAAAATTTTCGTTGTCAGAAGTTTTGAACTTCGTTATATATTTGCATTTCTTTCAGACAAGTGTTAAAAATTTTCCATATGCAATTTGAATTCTAACGAGAACACTTTCAAAATATGTTTGTACCATCGTATATTAATCCATTTGCTTCATATATTTCAACAAACTACATTTCAGCATTGAAAATGTAAGACATCAGATGATTCTCCAAGTGGTGTGACGGAAAAAACTTTTCATACGGTTCCATAATAATTGAACGTACGAATGTATAGAGAACAATTTTGAGCATCATAATTATTTTAAATTACATTTGCCTTTTTAAAGTCCTACAAAGTTTTATTCTCGATGAGTACATTATCAACTCATTGACGATTGAAAGCAGTTCCCTATTCGATTGAGTCATCATTGACTGAATAGCTTTGGAGGAACGAATTTCCATCTTGTATACTACATTATCACTAGTGATTGACCATAGTTTTATTTTACTGATAAGAGTAAAAGAAGTCGAAAAAGCTTTGTCCTTATAGACCTTGCTTGTGGAGCTAGAACCATTTTGTCGGATTTTCGGCTTATTGTAATGTATTGGTAAAAAAAATCAAAAAGAAGGAATTTTCACTTGGACCTTTGTCTATAAATAGCTCTCATAATTCTTAGAACATTCTGACTGTTTCAGCTAAAGTAGATGATTTCTTTTCGACACATTGAATACTGAAGACAATTTGTTTTTATGACCTTTTATTCTTAATAATTATTCAGTATATCGAGAAAAAAACGATCTGTTTTTGCTAAAACGTTCAGGAGAATATCAGCAGTTGCAGAATACCTGTCAAGCAGAATTCAGTTGTTTTTTCAATTCTCAATGGAATTCTATGTTTCAAAAGGCACACTTTATAGCAGATGGCAATTAAAATATTC